TGTATGTGATGCAGTATTTATAGACTGTTGAACCTGTGGGCGTAAACACAGTCTAAATGGACTGACTTCACCTCAAACCAGTGTTCAGAGCTGGTCTGACGGCATGAGCTGCTAGTGATGTTTGAAAGTGATTTTCAAGGCTAGGAATGTGTTGGTTCATCTGTATCCTCCACTGCAGCTCCAGCATAATGAAGAGTATGCACTCATGTCACTTTAATACATTAGGGGACTGATAGAGCTGCGGGTAAAAGTAAATGGCATTACAATCAATCTGTGAGGCGGTGCTTTGAGCTACATGCTAATGTCAGCATGCTGACTGACGTGCTCACAGTGACAATGCTAACATGCTGATGATAACCAGGCATAATGTTTTCCATGCTAACATCTTGGTTCGGCATGCTAGCATGCTAACACTTCCCAGTGAAAATTAAAAGTGCAGCTGAGGGTAATGATTGTGATCTGATAAAGATCTAAAAAATAAACGGATCACCAAAGTTATTACAAGTTATTACCACAATTTGATTGCAGTCCATCCCGTAGTTGTCAGGACATTTCATTTGAAACCATGGTGGCACAAGAGGAAAAGTTAGGGATCACCAAAATTTAATGGAAATCCATCCCAAATTGTTGAGATATTTCAGTCCGGACCAAAGTACAGGACTGACCAAATGCCATCCCTATACCCAATGTAATGCCAAAAAAACTCGTCTTTTTTCTTTCTTTCAAAATCTGCTTGAGTATGAGTGAAATGTATGCTGCATTAAGATTACCCTAAGTACCATTTGTTACAAAAAGTTAATAACTAAATGTAAATGTAAATGTAACTTGTCACAACTTACCTACAATATTTGTAATCTACTGTGACAAATGTATATACTTTGAGTAAATCTTAAACCTCTGCAAAGCTGAACAGAAGTCCCTGCTTTAACAGCATCACTGTGTCCCTGTGTACAAGGGGATGGACAGACCATAATGACCCTCAAGAGCTCTCAGTAAGTAATGCATAATACATTAGTTCTTACCAGGGCACCACAGAGACTTTTATCGTGTTTAGATCCACTACCTGTTTTTTTCAGGTCACCTCTTGGAGGAAAAAAAGATTTCTCCACCTTAGATAACACCAAAATGAATATGACTAGGTTGTCATGTACATGAAGTTGGGTGAGGTGTCTGGGGCCAAAGCCCAATTTGATCTAAGTCCCTACTTGAAATATAGCTTGCTGAAATTTTTGCTAAATAAATGTTGTTTTTTTGTTTTTGTTTTTGTTTTTGTTTTTGTTCAATTAAAAACTGCAGTTTTTCCTGCTGCGAGACATCTGCTGTGGTAATCGTCAATCATCAGTGCACTCAATTTAGCTGCAAAATCGGAAACATTTAATCTAATGTAATTGTTTCTCATTTGAGGCCAGTTTCCATCAGGATTTAAAGTCCATGCATTCCATCAGAGAGAGAGATTCTCCACAGTGAACAGACATTTATAATGCATTCTCTAAATGAAGAGCCCAATCAGCAGATCCCCCCAGCCTGATACCTCAATCTGCTTCCCAATCTCATTTCTAATTTATCTTACTCTGCCCCAACAAACCCAGTGCCGCGAAGTGCAATTTGACATTAGTCCTTCGAATCTGCAGTGGGCAATGAAGCAAGGGAAGAGTGGTTTGGCATAGATCCCAACCCCAAAACTCCATAAAGTGCCTTTCATTTGTCTTCTGTTCAAGTTCATCTGTGCTTTATGAATGAGCTTAAAAATGTGCGAGAATCTGTTCTCCTAGGAAGTGTAATGGATTCCTGATGTAGCTTCGGCTGTACATGGAAGAAGTGAAGGGGAATCAGCTTTACCCATTAGCATTCACTATTTTTATCTTATACATGTGCAGTTACTGCTTCCCTTATTCCATGTCCAATTAATATGATTCATATTGCTAATGGTTACTAACAGGGGATGTTGGAATATGTTTTTGTTCTTGTCATTTCCTCTGAATAACACTTTGAAGCTGATACAAGATGACCTTTAGCACTGTTAGGAGGTGTGTGTATGTGTATTTGTGCGTCTGTGCAATTTTCCTTGACATTTTATGGCAAAAGGTCACAGCACTTTTGAGTTTTGTGTTTGCTGATTCTGTCCCAAAAATCAAAACTAACCACAGTGGTGAAACAGTTCTTACAAATTTTACAATGGCTGTGGATGTTCAGGGCAAAGTGGTGCATCCACTGGTCATTCTGAATGATGTGCTCGAGGAACATGACATTTTGTATTGCCTCCACCTCTAACGCTGGCTGAATGGCAGTAGGTTCATCCTGCAGTATCGTGGTATTAAAGCCAACCACAGGGACAGCATAACATTTTCAAACCATCTCTCAGTTTAATTTTCCAGTTCATCCTGCATTTGTATTAACCAATTTCCTATTTAGTTTTTGTCTCATGGTTCCTTCCCTAACATCATCAGCAAATCCTAAAATACCTGCTACCTGGGATGGCCACTCAAACTTAAAGGAAAGACTAATGACCAGGGATGTTAAGGATCACTGCTAACATCCTATAGCTGTACAAATAGTAATAGTAGCATCCAAATGTTTGAAGACATGTCAGATAACTCCTGCAAACAGACACGTTGGATGAGATAAGGATACCAGAACACTCTCCATAAGCTGCATCATAATATTTTGAACCTCTTTTGAAACACAGTTTTGAATATTCGAGCCCGTCCTCACACACAAGAGATGACAGCAGTGGTCTTTTATTCAAACACTTAAAATGGTAAACGGTCTGCACTTATATAGCACTTTTCTTCCTCAGCAGACCGACGATGGCAGAGCTGCATTGCAAGGCACTGGCCTTCACGCTGGGTTCAGCGTCTTGCTCAAGGGCACTTCAACATGTGAAACCACCAACAAACTCTGTGATTAATGAATGGCTCACTCCACCACCTGAGCCACAGCCCCCTGCATGTTGATGTGAATTAGTTGAATTAGTTGAAAATCATTGTTGACTTTGTCCTGCCAAAGGCCTCTTGTGGCCCTGTGAATAATAAATATGTTGCCACTCAGAAGCAAAGGCAGAGGTACCGTGAGGTTGTAGCGCCAAAAAACCTCTTAGTGAAGATGCTTAGGGGCGGATGGTTGGGTATGATTTTGACATGAGAGACTACTGTCGCCTCTTGTCTCCCGGTGGCTGTCAGAACTAGTTTCATTGAACCACGACTGCAGTCTTTCCCCGTTTTACCTGTGTTTTAATTACTTAAAACTAACAGAAACTTAACCCACAGAGGTGCTACATTAGAAAACAGTGACGTGAAATATTTATGTAACAACAGTTTGTAAAAGCACTGACGAACAACAATGTCTTCCCAGTTGATCAGACAATGCCCACGTGGGTCATTTTGGAATGACAAACAAACATTTTCGTCATTAAGGTTTGGAGCACTTGATTTTGCATGTGGGAGCCCTTGGGTTTGAGACAGTGGGGAAAGCAGCAGACTGTTCGGGCGCAATGAGCTACTTTCCATATGCAGCACAATGAATGCCTTCCAGGAAAGACCGCGCCAAGTTATTCCCTTACAATATTGTGTCTCCGTGACGATCAGGTTTTCGCTGCACCTTCCAGTATGGTCATCAGAACAGCTAAAAAAAACGAGCTAATTCTGCTCTAGGTTTACATGATCCTTAAATGATGGGCTGCTTTAGAGTGAAGGCTCATCTCCCAAATCCCTACTGATGGATCTGTGTAGAGATGATGGTTGTGTTTGCCTACGATAAACAGAACAAGAAACACCCCTATGACACACTCTGTTATACCTTGTGAATATTCATTTCATGTATGTGTCTACTGTACATTCACAGACAGGTTTCTGTTTTGATGCTGTTTGTTCTTTTGCATTAATTACTTGTGTTGTTTGCGTGCAATTCACTCCTTTTGAATGCTTGCTACTATCAAATTCAACAGATGAATACCAAAAATATCAAAGAGAATATCCAACCGTTTCCACGCTGCGAGTTGGATATGTGCGAGGGAATAAAACAGTAGCATAAAATACTGAACACAGCGGCATTTGAATATTAACATCAAGGTTATACCTTTCTGCACACTGTGTATTTGAGTGCTTGTGGGACTAATGAACAAAGGCGTCTCCTCACTGAATTTTTGAGGAAAAGGGGAATCCATAATGCAAAACAAGAGTGCTGGGATGCAGTTTGATGTATGACCTCAGAGAGTGGTTCTACCATAGATTGTAGATGCCACTTGTCAGAGTATGGGCCTTTTGTAGTCAGTGATGAGAAGCTTGAGCTGCCTCTCTGACAATGGAAATGATAAAAAAAAAATTTAAAAATGGATGTTTGACAGGGTTGTAATGTACACTTAACACACACAAGAAATAAATGCAATAAACTCAAGCATACACATAAAGACTGTAAATGTCCAAAGGCACACCAATTCAAACACAATCTTGTGTCCAAGCGCTGATCAAACTCTTCTCTTTTATCAGACAAGACACATGGAGTGTGTACGACTGTTTGCAGAGGCCCGGGGTGAAAAGAGCCCTGATCCAACATTGTCATAGCTTCTGTAGCACTGCAGGTGTTATAAAAGCGACTGGAATATGGATGAGTGGGAGACTGCTGTGATTGAAATGTGCTAAAGCGAGTCGGTGCCTTTGTACTATGCTCCAAGGTGTGGGAGAGGCGGAAGAGAGAGAGAAAGTAGGGCAGCAGAGAGTAAAGTAGACAACAAGGTGGAGCTGATTTCTGATACTTCTCTGGCCTCAGCCTGCACACAAGTTGCCCTCAAGCACTGGTTCTCAATCAGATTATTTTAACCCGATTCGCAATGCGCCACGGCAAAGCCTTATCCTCAGCTCCGTTTGTGTGTGTGTGTGTGTGGGTGTGTGTCTGCAGCAAAGATGTGCTGGTTTTGTTGTGGGTTAACAAGGAAAGCATGACACGGTTTTATGGGTTCATAGCAGACACAAACGCTGACACAGTTTTCCTCCTATCTCTTTCAGGAAACTTCCTCCTTCTCAGATCGAGCCCTCTGAGAAATGAGCTGCCAATGTAAGTGTTTCGCCTCACCTCAGCACTTGGTTGATTTTAAATTAATTAACGAAAGCTACACAAACAATCATGCATGCACAGAGCCGTATAGCCTCGAACCTGTAACCTTTAACTGTCTTCCCCTCACTAACCATTGGGACGGGATTCACCACTGACATCATTGGTTAGTAGCTAATTGCTATTCCCTGCAAACACACTGATGGGACATCAAAGGTTGACTCACTGCAGGACAAGCTAGTGAAATTCAAATTTCTAACAACCCTTCCTTCAGTATTATGCCACTGAGTTGCCACTTGTGCTTTTTAGTTTGTCATCCCGCGCACAAGGAAGGCTTAAGGCGCTATTAATAATGGATGAGGATGTGAGACTTTCCAGCGAGTTTTCCAGAAGCATCAGTGCTTGCATTTAAAACCCAGGCAGCACCGGCTCTCTGTGCACCTGGAAACTGGGGTTGTAGCTTTCAAGCAGTTCTCGAGGCAATGTAGTCGGTCAGAGCCCCTTACAGGAAAGATAAGAAGCTGCGGCCAGGGCCGTAACCAGGCTACCAATTTCTCAGTTGGTCACACCAGCGCATTATTTGGTCGCACCTTTTTGTTTTTCCGGTCTCTCCCTGCAGCCTGCACTCTCATCATCACCATCACTTGTGTATGAGTCGTGGGCCTCTCGTATATTCAGTATACCTCTCTATGACTCACAGATACACACATATACATACACACACAAAAGATGCACCCCTCACATCCTAATGGTGACCTTTGATAATACAGAAGTAGGTCTATATTGTCTTTTTTAGCTCAGCCTAATGCATTATAAATTATTGTCTGGGTGTAGAGAGATGTGTAATAGACGTAGGTTTCTTTATACTTCAGTAATGCTTATTATTGACAGCAAGGGCATATGAGGTGTGTGTGTTTAAGAGGGAGAGACAGAGAGAGGGGAAGATGTTTCTGTAAGGGTTATTTATAACATAGTCAGAAAGCTGCTTTGTCACTTTTTGACCTGACCCGCCTGAATCTATTGTATTTTCTTGTGAGCTTACCTGAACTCAGGCTGACCTGCACATTACTAGCAGGCAGGGAGAGTGCAGGTTTGGAGAGACAGACTCAGCAAGTGAAGACGAAAAAGCGTTACTTTCAACCACAATGGCTAACACAGCACCGACCCACAGGGGCACCAAAACAGCCTAATGATCATCATGCACTCGCATGTGAAAAGAGCCCCTGAAAAATGCTCCACAACATGCATTACCTTTTCATGGAAGGCTGGTTGTATCCTCTCGTGGCCATCCCACCATGTAAATTCCAGTTGCTGTCAGTGGAAGTGCTGATGATGCAAGGAGCTGCGCTCATGCCCTCTCTCACAACTCACAGCGGACACTAAATAACTAATCTGAATTAAGCACTCATTCGTCTAGGAGGAGAAGTTCTCAACTGCAGATTTTTTTTTTTTTTTTCTTCAGTTGTATTTTGCTTCAAATTTTATTTTTAGCTCTAAAAAATTACCGAGGTCTGGACCTCGATGCAGCTTTCACTGAATAAGCGAGTTTGCAGAAAAATGTTTTATAGTGCATTCACTTTAAAGTCGACAAATGTTCATAGTAAACTCCAACCCAGTGGAGATAATAAATGCACTGCAAACATTTTTATTTTTAAATTTTTAGGGGAAACAATTTTGCTATATTTTTCTGCTACTGGTTCGGTGTTTCTCTTATTTAAGAAAATAAGATTTATAGGACTCACTTACAGGCAGAAATGACTTGAGATGACACAGAGTTTTAGTCCTGGCAGTGTAATTGTGCATCATAATGGTATAATTACACTACAAGTGTCTGCAGGATTATGTTTGTTATAGAGGGAGTGAATGCTGTGTTTGAGAGGGTCTTAGAATTGCTAAATATCAGTGAGCAAAAGTTGTACAAATCCCATCAACAACAACATGAACATGTGGATCTGCCTCTGGAGAGAGGCCTCAGAAGGCTTTTATATGGCTTCTTCTTCTTTGTCATTTTAATGGAAATTTGAAACTCTGTACACAGCACTGCACCAGATTCAGTTTAAGGATTATACCGACAAACACGACCACTTCTCACACACAATGTCAAGCCACTGTCCTTCATTCCGACACACACACACACACACACACACACACATACACACACACACACACACACACACACACACACACACACACACACACACACACACACACACACACACACACACACACAAACACAGACACACATACAAGTCTGTCTTTGTAGTTTCTCTCAAATATTTACAGCCACACATCCTATATCACATGAACACATGTGCACTCAGAAAGACATGCATTTCCATGCAAATATAGTTCTTGACATTCACAAACTTGCACACGCAGACACCTCAGCAGACCCACACATGGACACACATATTGCCACTTTTCTGCAGAAACAGGGGTCTTGCCAGCCGCGTTGCTGTGGTTAGGAGATAACAGGATGCTCCAATCACAGGTTTCCTCTCAATCCTTCCCATAAGGCCCCAGAAGGGAGTCTCCAGAGCGTGGAGGATGAGAGGTTGAAGCTGAGATCACACTCACAATAGGCTATGCTAGAGGTGTTAGAATTGGATCTGGAGGTTGCATTTGACTCCGGCTTTTGTACAGTAACTGTGCACAAAAGGTGCGCCGTCGCTTGATAACAAATTAATCATACAAGCTTCACTGTGGCGGATTAATTCATGCTTTGCTTATTGGGTCAAAGTGAGACACGCTGCATTTGTCAGAGGATAATCAGATCAATGATAGCTTCACAGGGGAAAGGCAAAAAGGATACGACCATAATATTGAAACACTATGATCAAAGCTGAGCTCGCACTGTGAATGAGAATGTAGGGAGGAGAGCAGGGCTGCAAAGGACAGCTGTGATTGATGCGTTACTCCCTCCTAGCTGTCTGCACACACAGAGAAGGAGACTGTGGCAATTTCACTGAATCACAGTGTAGAACTTCTTTTGTCTCTCCACTCCTTCCCTCGTGTCTTGTCTCTCAACACGCTTGCATTATAGAGTGCTCATCCTGTGCTGTTTAAAAAGCCTCCCGTGTCTGCAGACAGTAAAAAGTAGGCATGGAAACACTTTTTAGTCTGACTAGGACAGTGCAGAAGTGTTCTTTACTGTCCTACACATTAAATATAGACTGGGAATCACTTCTGAAGAATGCAGAATTATTTCATCCTATTCGCTGCCTTTAATTTGCTGTGCACAAACAGATTCAAAATTAAGCGTGAACCACCCTAATTTTCTTACTTTGGTGATTTATGATGCCTAAAAAACATCGATGAATTGTTGGTTTCCCCCAGAGATGAGATGAGATCTGTGTATTTATTGATGAGTCACGCCAGAGAAAACATTTGTTAAATGGATATGTTCTAATATATGAGGACAAACTCTCACACAAACACACAGCCCACTCACACTGTGAATAGAACATGTAAAAAATTAATTAATGTCACTCTGTGTTACTATGTCAAGGTCAACATCCTCTCTGAGTCAGAAATCCTTTCAGCAAAGATCCACATTACCTGCTTCAGTGCAGTTGAACAAGGTAATGAGTCCCAGTGGTGATATTCAAACCACAGTGGGAGGGAAACCCTATGGGAGACTGCTGATTAAGGCTACGTCCACACTGATATGTTAAACAGCATTTTAAAATGAACGCCATCTCAGTCCAGACGGGTATTTTCGCTCCGTATCAGAAATAATCTCAATCCACACTAACGCGTCTGAAAACACATATCATATGTACATTGATGATCATTAGCTTGACTCCTACGCATGTAGGCAGTTGTTGCATTATAAAGTGCAGAATTTAACTGCGCTACAGCTGCTAGCAAAGACAAGGTCAGCAGCGTTTCTAATTCATTATCCGTACTGTTAGTCGAGGGTCACGTGATAGGAGCGTGACGAATCAGGGAAGGATACAATGTGACTGATAAGACTCATTCATGAAGTGAGTGTGGGTGTCAGCATTATTGTTTCCAAAAGTCTCTTTTTCTGCCCATCCAGACTAAAATGCACCCCTGGACTTTTCAAGTAAAATGGGGTCAGCAGTAATGATCAACTGATATGGGTTTTTCAATGGTAATTAATATTTAAAGAGAAGGGCGGCCAATGGCCGATATATAAATCAATTTTAATCTGATGAAATACAAGACTTGAATAACAATAACAAATATTAAAAAATTCTCCATTTTAGGAGCTCAGAAACTCTGAAATAATGTGGATGCCAGGCGTGAGCGTAGCAAATGTGATGTGTTTTAAAACTAACATATTAGAGTGGATTTGGCCTAAGTACTGATAAAGTAGTAAAAATGACATGATGATTTACAAATCATAACAAAACAGCAGCCATTTATTTCAGTGTTTACAGCTTTTATATCTATTAACACAATGTTGGGTTGTAAATGCAAATATTGCTAAATAAACCTTTGCTTTTGTGAGTTTGGAAAATATGTAAAAGCCTCTGTTTTCTCATTTTCATTGTGTGGTACTCTTTTCAACTGTCTAAGGTTAAACTTAGTTTTCCTATTATTCCATCTTTTCCTCTGTGTATTGAATCAGTAATTCCTCAGCCCTTGGGAAACATGTCAAACTCACAATTCCACGGGTTCTACAACATGAATTGAGCCATTTCAACTTCCCAACAAGAAGTAACAGGACTCGTGTTTTCATATAATGGTAGAATGTACAGTTCTTTCCTGTGCTGTGAAAGTGAACTGTCAGAGAAAAAATGTCTTTATTACAGAGTAGATGACCTGGTAAAGATGATCAAGACAGTATGAGCCTGGAAGCTCTACAATGCAGGGAAGTTGAGGTCAGCAGCTAAAATTCAAAGGTGCAATGCTTTACCTGAAGGAAACATTCAAATCTGAGAAAGGGTTCCCAGGGAGTGAGTTACCTGTGATCCTGAAGTTTACAATGTCATCTGAAAACTGAAACTGAAAAGATAGTTATCACCAATTGTGGT